TCTAAAGACAATAAAATCTTTGAAAGGTTAGGCTTTTCTTAAGAATTGCTCCAACCTTTGTATAGATGGTCATATAAACGAGCTTAGGAATGTTTTTAACCTTTTAAAAGATTACAAGGTCAAGTTTTTTTATCCTTCTGATAAAAGGTAGAAATAATTTATGGGTGTATAGAAAAGCAATGGTGGTTGGACTAAAGTTTCCTTTACATCCTTTCATAGTGGCTATACTAAATTTTTTATGGTCTAGTTAGCTCATTTTTAGCTTGTGCCCAACTCTTGGCATAGCATTATTAGGTTTATAGTGTTGGTCGAAGGTTTAGGTCAGCACTTAACCCTTAACCCTTTTAGGATTTTTTTTCAGTAAAAGTTTATCCTTATAATTGTAGCTGGTATTACGTCACAGCTTAGTGTAATAAGAAGTTATTTGATAAAATTCCCACCTCGATAAAAACTTGGAAACTAATCTTTTATTCCATTATCATACCCAATAAAAAATAGGAGGTTGAAATTATTTCAAGTCAATTCATCAGCCATCCTGATGGCCATAACTCATTTTTTGTGGAAGACGTCCATGTTTTCCAAGATATCAATAAAACTAAAAAGTATGGGACTTGATTGATGTGAATCCTTAGACTCGGTGAATGCTCTTCGTCATTTTAAAAATAAAGGTAGTTAGGAATAGGTAATTGTTCAAAGGTTCATGAAACTTGAGAATTGTAAATGTCTTCTTTTTTTTAGACATGGTAGGTACTAAGGATCAAGCATGATCTCAGGCTGCCAAAGGGAAAAAAAGGCAAGATTTTACCTTCAACATTTTTTACTTTGTTAAACCTTTTGAAAGGCAAGTTCGGAGTAAAAGGAAGAAAAAAAGCTCAGTAAGTTGGATGCCATTAAGTTCAAGCATCCAAGTCCATCCTTCTCTCAACAAACTTTAACACTCTTATCCCTCTACTGAGGTTGAAGTTGTAGAGGTCTAACCTCCACATCTCGCTGTAAAACATCATCGTCTAGCCGAGATGACATATGTGTTTGAATTTCTTTCATCTTGAATCGAGATTTCAGTAAAGACCATTCCTCGTGTAGTCATTTTGTCTATGTAAATCGATGCAAATAAGAGTGCCTACGACTTCACCAAGTTTTCTCACAAGATCACGTAATTCATGATACCCCATACAGGTCAATTTGGTAAATTTAATATTTTTCCTGACATCTTTTAATATCTACATTAATTGGTTCTTAACACTTTCATTATCATTTTTAGACAAGAAAAAATTCAACATTCCATTGGTCAACAATATCAATGTTGCTTTGCCTATGTCGTTCTAGCTCATGCCAGCTGAGTTGAAATGTATGCCAAAGAGTATGAAGCTTGGGTAAAGGCTAAGAAGTAGGCTCAAAAAAAGAGGTTTGTAGGCATTCTTCTACCATTCATTTTTGGGGTTTGTCAACCTTTTTGTTTTCATTCTTTTGCTCACCTAGAATGATTGTCTGCTTCTAGCCAAACTCTAACACTAATCTTGGTTGGACTTTTGTTGCCTTTTCCTTTCCTTTCAATTTTAGTGTGGTCACGTAACATTGTCTGGCCACAGACTAGTCACCCCACATCTTTTATATTCTATAAGGAGTTAGGAATTTCACCTGAGGTGTTTACCCATTATCTTTAGAGTTGTTTGGCTAAGTCTTCCCATGATGATATTATAGGCTAAAGGAATATCAATAACTATAAACTCAATCATAGCTGTAATGGTTATTGGCTTAGTTTTAAGGGTGATGGGTAGCCTTATAGTTCCCAACATGGAGAAATCCTCATTTCCAAACCCAATTAAGGTAATTTGATATGGCTTGAGTTAGTCATTAGGTATTCATATCTTTCTCATCATATTGTAGTATAACACATCACTTGAGCTAACGCTATCAAAGTAAATCCTTTTAACCAAATGGTTGTAAACCACAACACTAATAACTATTCCATCATCATGTAATAATTGAATGCCATTCAGTTCTTTCGTTGAGAAAGAGATTGACTCATTTTTCCAAGTTTTACCTTCTTGATTGAAGAGCTAATGGCCAGAATTACCCCTTATCAACCTTCTTTTTAGTCGAGGTTGAAGTTTCTTTAATGATGATGTTGATGACCCCAGTTATAGGGTGGTTCACATTTTATTCTCTTTACTCTTCAGTTTGATCAAATCTTTCCTTCTTATCTCTCCAATGTTGTTAGGTTTGATTATCATAGTTCCTTCTTGGTTATTTTTCTAAATCGCTTCCTTGGTTTTCCATGAATTGATGCAGCTTACCCCTTCTAATGAGGTTTTCAATTTTGTTTATCAAATTCATGCATTTTTCAGTTGTGTAGCTGTGGTCTTTGTGAAAAGCATACCTTTTCATTCGATCTCTTAGTTGCTTTACCTCATGAATTTGGGCCATCGCAATTGTGGATCTTTTATATTTTTATTAATATCTACTCATAGGGAAGTATTCAAAGGGATACATTGATTATATCTCCTACCCAGGCTTCTAGCCCTCTTGTATCCCTCTGTGCATGTTTTCTTTCTTTTTGGGAGCTTTCTATCTCTTTACCTTGTGTCTTGCTAATGTGATTAAGAATTTCTCCTATTATGTCACTTTTAAAAGCCATAGTTTTAATAGCATTGATACGTTGTTCAGTTCTCTTCAAAAGCTCTTTCATTCTCCTTGGAGGTTAAAAATAGAGGGAATATTTGAACTTGTATTCCTTATCATCAAGGCCCTGTAAAAAGGTTAACCATTGTAATTGACTACTCTTGGTTCTTGACCTGTAGAGCTTTTGCATTAAAATGCATCACATATTCCCATAGGGATTCATCTGGCTTTTGTTGTATAGCTATTAGACTTAGAATAGTTTTCCTAGTATGGCAGCTACTTATAAAGTGGCTTAAAAATAAATATCCGAGGTCTTTGAATGATGTGATAAACCTTACCTAAGGCTGGAATACCAAGCCCTTATAGCTATCTTTAGCTAGCCAAAAATGCCTTGTACATAAAAAGATTGTTTGCACCATGCGTCAACATATTTGTCTGAAATAACTACAAATAATAAAAAGGATCCGATGGTACCATCATATGGTTCGATAGTTAGCATTTTGAACCCTGTGAAGGGTTTTGATTAGTCGATCTCCTTAATAAAAGATGAGGTTTTGAAGAATTTGAGCTCTTCCTCGAAAATTGAGGTTTTTTCCCTTATCTATTTTTCCATTGCTTTTATATGGGCCTCGAGCTCCTTGTTCACCCATAACATGCTTATTGGTATCGCTAAAACTTTGGTTGAAGTGATTTACTTGGATTGACTAGTTTGACTTAAAAGGGGTTTAAGTTCTTATTGTTTTTCTCGACATGGAGGAGCCAACATCGATATCTTGCTCAGTTACATCATGATGGGTCTGAGGGTGGTTTGATACTAGGAACATGTCTTTCAAGGTTGGGGGTACTAGGTTGTTTACAAGAGGTTGGTGAGGCTTTAGAGTTGGATGACCAAAGCATTGAACTACATAGCCATAGGTAATGTCTAGGGTAAAAGTGTGGGTTGGTTGGCATTAGTCTACAATTTTTTAGCCATCGTTATTTGGTTTTTTTCCCTTGACAACTATTCTTTTTAAGTGCCACTGTTAGGGGGCCCTTTAACTAGAGCATCAAAAGACTATGGTAGACTCTTGTCAAAGAAGAACAAAGTTTAGGAACAAAAGCTGGAGGTTATTTCGACATTTGTATTCCAATGCATAAGTAAGAAAAGTGGTTGAATAAGGAAGAATGAGAGTAAGAGTAATAGAATAGAAAAGAAAGGGTTACTTATCTTTCTGTGAAAGGATAAGAGGTATTTATACTTGAGATGAGCGATAGGTGACATCTAGAGTGGGTCATGCCAACATGACCTTAGGTGTTTTCTATAGCTTCCCAACATATCAGCTCGCCTATCTGGGGGCAACTAGGTCGTGACAGGGATCTACGTTAGTGATTAGTAATAAGAGTCTGACGGTGTCAGTTACACGCCTCCATTGGTGACCTAGTTGTGTCAAGTCTCATTCTCGCTAACTATTCAAAAATGTCTGATCGACGAAAAGTTGAAAGTATGTTATATTGATCGAAAGACCAAAATACCCCTGGTTGAGAAGTGCTACCCCAAATGTCTATTTTGCTTATAAAGTGAATAATATCCACATCATTTCAAACCCTATCATATCCTTTATGTACTTTTAACATGTTAACATTAGACAATTTAAAATGTGCAACACTCATTATAAGTTTGCATGTTCTTTCAACCAATAAATCCAATGTTTGTTCTTATTCATTTTAATCCAAAAGGTATTTTTACTTATTCAACTTTAGTCATTTTAAAAATAAGGTTATCTCATAATTGATTTTGAATTATAATAAAATATTTAATATGATATTTGAATTTTAAAAAAAATTTAATATGATATTTGAATTATAAATTTATTAATTGATGTGATACTCATTTTTTAATATGAATAACTCTAAGTGATGACATGTATCAAATAAAAAGTCTTTCAAATATTATATTATTTAATATATTCATTATTCATATATCATATTAAAAATTTTTAAAATTCAAGTATCACATTACCCCATTTTATTATAATTTTGAGTCATTTCTAACATTAGCTTACAAATACTAATATAATTTTTTTTATTTTTAGTAAAAGGATTAATATTATGAATAGTTTTTAAATTATAGTAAAATATTTGATATGATACTTAAATTTTAAAAATCTTTAATGAAATATTTAAACTATTAATATGTTAACTAATATATTACTTAAAGGTTTATTTATCAATCATATACCATTATTCGAAATTAATTATATTAAAAATATATAATATATTAATTAATAAATTCATAATTTATATATAATATTAAAATTTTTTAAAATTTAAATACTATATTAAATATAATTTGTAACGTAACCCTTAACAAAAAATTGCCAACAAAAGATGGGGTTCAATGCGCCCAACCCAACGAATTTGAAAAGCGAAGATTTCCCTCTAATTTTAATCTTTGCTCGTTCCCAATCCTAATCCCACACTGAAAGCGGAGAAAAAAAGAAAAAAACAATGGGTGTGATTCTGACACAGACGAAAGGTTCCTCCTCTGCCTACGACCCTCTCTTCCCATGGCTCCTGTATTCTTCTCTCTTTCGTTTTCTTAAAATTTAAGTTTCTCTGAATTGTTTGCTGTGAATTCGTTTTTTTTATCCTAACCAGCTGCAAATCCAGGTCGATAAAGAAGGCGTTGGACGAATGGTACTCAGGGAACCGCACTGGCGTAGATCTCGACAAACTTTTATTGGATTGTATCTCTGCTTTCAAGCACAGTGCCCAGTACCGAAACGACCTCAGATTTCTCAAGATTTGGTTCATTTATGTAATTATATCTCTTGTGGTTTACTTTTGCTTTTGAAAATTTTAAAATGTTTGAATTGGGTTAAGGATGTTGCTATAATTGATTGAGGTAGATGGTCAATTATTTGATGGGTTTGATTTGCTTGTTCGTGTTCTGTATAATTTTATGTAGTTTGAGCTTATATGTCCTAATAGAGAGAGAGAGAGTATTGGAATTTTTTCAATTTGTGGAATAATGTTTGTAGTGGATATTTTTGAGGGTTCAGATCACTTAAATGGGTTATTGCTTTTGCATTTTAGCATTGCTTGAATTTTACATACATTTAAAATTTTTTACTTATAAGTAGTGCTTCAATTTTTCTGTGGATTTGGTACCTTTGATGCATAAGTTTATTGGGGTCTAAATATTTGCATTAACTAAATTTGATGGTTTTTTTTTTATTTTTTATTTTTAGAGAAGTGTAGGAGAATGAGATATGTATTGGACATTCTCTACTTTATGAGTGGTGTGCATATTTCCTTGAAGCCAAAGGGAAATGGAATGGTTTATCAGATTGGCATTTCAAGGTTTTTTCTCTTTATTTGCTTTTAAGTTTTTTGTTCGTTGCAATTCATCTTTTATGTTTTGATACTTTTATTATGTTTGGAGACTAGGAAAGCTGAGCCACTTGAGAAGCTGAAGGGGGCACAATCCTTATTTGTTAAAAGAATGTCTGAAAGGCTTAATATTTCCTCATTTGGGAAGGTAATTGAAGCTTAACCAGGAAAAGAAAATCTTGTGGTTTCTAAATGTTTTCCCTGAATATTCCAAGCACATTCGATATGGCTGTAAGTGCTTGTGTGAATATACAGTACGCTGCACAAGTTGACATCTATTTATTAATTTATACACATTTCAAATATTTCTGATGAGAGTTCAATATGCATCACCTTGTATACTTTTTCAGGAAATATCAGGCTATTGCAAAAGAATTTTCCTCCTCTGCATGGGAATTTTGAAGTTTTTCTTCATAAGTATGCAGCTATAGATTTTGAAGTTTCAGGGATTCAAATTTGGTCTTCAGTCTTTTGACTTTTTTCTATATGAATGACTAAGGCTTCACCATCAGCTATTTCTTTTTTATCCTTTTACAAATGCCTAACTAGGTATCATTGATAACCATTTCACAAATAAAGAGTCTTACATAATGCTGCTGTTTGTTTGAGTTTAGAAAATGTGGTTAAAAAGTCTGGCTGGGTATACCCTTGTATTCCTTCCATTTCTTTGTTATTTAAGCTTGTTCACTTACATGTGCTGCAGATTGATGGAGGTGAACTGGTTGAGTTTGGCAAAAAATTTATTAATCCATGGTCTGCCTTTACCACAGAAAAGCTTTCCAAGAAGATTCATCCTCAAATTATAAAATATGATGTGAGAGAGTTTGCTTCTATTTGTAGCATGTTTCTCCACTTTTCAGTCTTGTTCCTGGTTAGTCTTATTCTAGCCTTTTGACATTTATTTCAGGGATACCTCCTGAGTAAGAAAGTTTACTCTGGAAAAGTGGCCTTATGTTCTTTGAAGAAATCGTCAAGGAATAAAATTATTGAGATAGGTAATTTTTGTGATTCTGCGATATGAATCTAGCTCGATGCTTTGAAACCTTTGTGTCGCTGTATGAAAGTTTTCTAACTAAATTTTAAAAATTCACCAGATCTATTTCAATAATTAGTAAGATTAAAAGGTGAGGATGAGGTTTACAACTAACCTGTGAGATCTAAATTTGCTGCCAAAACTAATATAAGGTTTTGCTTGACACTGTCATTAAGTGACTATATTTGCAGGCAACTTCTTTCACCTTGTCTTGGATCTCTTAGCTTCACATGGTCACCAATTTTATGGACTCTATTCCTTGGTCTTTACCGTACCCATCCTACAAATTGATGAAAACTGTGAAATATTGAAGATAATCCACATTCATAGTGATGAAGCAAGCTTTTTTTTTTGGAAAATTAATATACCCCTTGTTTATGACTATCCTTGAAGGCCTTTCCTTATATCAGGTATTCATACCTTCCACTGCACATGAAAGTTTACACCTCATTTTGTAAGCGTACAGAAGGGCTATACAGCTTGTTAGGTTGGATCCTGCTTGGGTAAAAATGACAAAGTGTTTGAAAAAAAATACGAAGACAGAGCTAAGAAGAGAGAACAGAAATTGTGTAAGAAGAATATAGTGGTGTTTTCTCCCCCTTGGTGGATAAAGAATCTTTGAGAACCTAGTTGTGTGCAAATATCTATATCTTTCAATCTTGAGAAGTATTCTCCCATCTGTAAACCTTTTGCTGTGTGCTTCATCATTGAGTTCAACGGAGATACCGATGCTTTTTCTTGTCTTAATCGACAAATTTTTCTTGTCTTAATCGACAAATCTCTTTACAATATCTCAGGAGTTTAGAGAGCCAAGAATTGTAGTAATAAGCTACCATAATTTTTCTGTGAATTCTAAATTTTTAGAAACATATAAATTCATTATAGGGAACTAACTTTGGTTTTTTTTTTTTTTAATTGCCTTTATTTTCAAAAGGTGGAAAGAAGTATCAGATCAAGGGGTGTGCTGGTCAGGGTGGCTTTACTCAAGTATTTAAAGTATACATTGATAGTAATCCTGATGACATTGTTGCATTAAGGTTACTGTTGACCTTGATCTTCTTCCTTTGTAAAGATCACAGTTTCACACATTGGAATGTGTCCTAACAATACAAATCCTCTTGCAGATACAAAAGCCTGCTTTCCCTTGGGAATTCTACATGTATTGTCAACTTGATGAACGCATCTCAGATGAACAGGTATAACAGTTCTAGGTGTTTATGATTTTACATCATTATCGGTATATTCTGGTCTGATGAGCTTTTCTGATTTCTCTTATTTCAGGCATCAGAGATCAAGCTTTGGTTTTGCTCATAAAATTCATATCTATTCAGACTGTGGCATACTCATATCTGACTATCTATCTCATGGGACACTGCAGGTAGGTCTATGACCCTGCTACAGCTCCATCCAAATATAAGTAAAGGGAGAAAAGAGCCTTCTGTCACATTTGCCATTGTGTTGTATAGGATGCCATTAATTCTTATGTAGTTACTGGCAAGTTCATGGAAGAGGTATTGTGTATTTATTACACTACAGAGATGCTTTACATGTTGGAAACTTTGCATAGTGTTGGCATCATTCATGGTGATTTCAAGTACAATAATCTTCTCATTCGCTATTCTAAGTATCGTTTTCCTTTTCACCACTATAGATCTTGACTGTTTGATTCACATGACTTTCATGTAACTGTAGCATGGTACTTGATGTGTTAATTATCAAACATCAGTATAGAAACAAAATAATGATGTTTATAAAAGAAACACTAATGACCTAATGACAATATATGAGCTGTTCTACTTCTACTCTGAGTTTTAACTCGACCGCAATAAACACCACACTCCTAATGGTTTAATTTGAATGACACTGCACTTCATTTTTTAAGAAGCGTTAAGCAGGAGTAGCATCATATGTAGGTGGACCAGCTCACCAATGTATGAGCCATCTGTAACTGTTCACAAAAATTATGAAGATATTTATGCAATACTCCTGCTTTTTACCTTTCAAATAATTCAAAAACATAGTAAAACATTTTGAATACTTATTCAGTTATTTTCTCAAGTCCAGTGTTCGCTTGAGAGTCATTGTTAACATATATTTAGTTATAATATGAATTTCGTTTGAGTCTTTTTATTTTATTTTAGTTGTTACAGTTGATTTTGGAGTTTGGCATGCAATACGTAGATTTCTGACATTTTGCAGGGATGACCTCTGAGAAGAAGGGTTCAAATATCAAACAGGCCCTTGGCTTGATCAGGTTAACTCTGTTTGAATAGAAACTATGAATTTTAAGGTTGACATTTGACAATTAGACTCTGTACTTAAGAATTATATTTAGCAGGGTCTTTACCTTGTTGACTGGGGTAGGGGGATTGATCTGCGTCTTTTTCCCGACAGCACAGAATTTACATGTGATTGTCGAACTTCTGGGTTTCGTTGCATTGAAATGCAAGAGAAAAAACCATGGACCTTGCAGGCAAGTCTCTATTTCATGAACCGTTGCAAATTGGCGTCTTTAATTTTCATCAGAATGATTACCTTGACCCTGCTGTGTCATTTATCACCAGGTGGACACATATGGCCTATGTGTTGTCCATATGCTGCTGCATAATACTTACATGGAGATTGAAAAAAAAGCCTCAAATGGTGGGTACATTTATCTGCCAAAATCATCTTTTAAACGGTAATTTTCTTTTATTACTGCATATTCACAAATAATTCCATAGTTGCTCAGTTCAGGTGCCAAGTTGTTAATTAACTTGTTTTGAGCCATTGGCAAGGTAGTTTAAATTTAAAAATTCACACATAAGTGGAGCAATGTCTTAACTAATAACTTCGATTGTGTTTGGCACAATTGGTTTCGGATATTGGAATGTTGAACTTTGGAAGATCTGTTCACAAAGCTGCTTAATGTTAGCACAGGCAATAATAACACAGAGTTGTTGCATAGCTTGAGGAAGTCATTCCTAGACTACATGCATGATAACCCCCTGCTCATAAAGAAACTAAAGGAGATGCTAGATGCTAGTGAGACAACGGGCTACCTTGTGTTCTGCTTAATGCATTCCTGCAGGAATTTCGCAACTGTCTTGTAATTTTGACCGCAAACAGTTTTAAATGGTGAAAGCTTTTGATTTCACAATAAGTATATGTAAATCCATAAATTCTACTATCAGTTTAATGTTTAATTGCTGTATTTTGCTAGTATGCTAGTACAATTTACAGTCCGACGGAACAGTCTATCAGTAGAATTGATTCAATGATTCATGAATGCACCAAATGGCCAAAATACTTGAGTAGTACTTTAAATCATAGTGTACACATTTTGCCAAGCAATTCAATTGATTAACTGATAGACTTATAAGCAAATATTTTAAAAAGATAAAAAGGTAAAAATAGTGGAATATTAAGCTAGAGTAGTGATTATTTTGGGGCTTAGTTCCTTCCAACTTTCAATCTGAACAAATTTGAACAAGAGCGAGACCTAATCTTCAGTGGACTCCTGAGTCAGCCATTGCCTCCGTGGTGGCACAAGGACAAATTCAAAGCGCAAAGCGAGGTCAAATCCGTCATTACGGAGAGTAACAAAAACCCTAAACCGAAATCAAGGTGTATCCGGACATATAAATATGCTCGTCGCTTTCATTTCTCGTTACAGTCAGGAAGTAGTAGTAGTATTAGTATTAGAGCTTCCTCGGCGGCCTCAGAGGTTACTTTTTCCATTTCTCTTTCATAAATTTACCCTTTTTCATCACTCGCAATTTCTCGTATGATCTCTGTTTTCTTCCACTTCCTTTGATTTTTCATTTTTCTCCGCTGTTTGTTTGCTTAGAAATTGAGTGAAAAAAGTCACTCGAAATAAGCTCTTGAACTTGTTTTAGCTTGTATTTTGTTTGTTGTTTTGGTTAATTTGGTTTACGATGAGTTGGTTTAGGATTGTGTTATTTTTGCATCAGTAGCCGCCAAAAACTGAGTTAGATATGCTGTGGTTTAGATTTTCAGTAATGTTGATTAGATTTTCAGTAAAATGCAGATCTGTTATTTTTGTTTAGAATTGCTTTATCTATTTTACCAAGTTCATTTTGCTGTATGGAAATATGTGGTATAATTTTGAATTTGTGGCTTTTTTAAAAAGAAATGTTAAAAAATTTGCTTAGAATGATCCATTATTGATGTAGTTCAGGGTTTTCCCTTCTTTTCATGTTGTGTATAAAATCATTTCAGCTTTTCAGCCCCTTAGTTTCAAAATTTAACTTGCCTGTTCTTCCTTTTAAGGTTGAAGTATGCATCTCATATTTAGAATAAGAGCCCATTCTGTCTTCCCTTTAATTCTTGTCAATTTTTTTCTAAGTTGTTTCTGTTTACTTACAGGTCACCATCTTGAGTTTTAAGCATGGCAGATGGATCAAGGCGTCCATCAGTATTTCAAAAAATACATGGGCAGTCCTATTTCATTTCCAGGCTTTCTCCTAACTTGCCTGCCCGGAATTATAATGTGACTGGTCCGTATGCCAATGGAGGAATTGATGTTGCTTTACAGCCATCGCATCAGGCCACTTGGTTGGCACTTGTGTCCCCTGTTTCTCCCATTTTTGTACAAGCTCCATCAGAGAAAGGTGGTTATGGTTTTTTGGTGGATTTCCTCATGGGAGGAGTTTCCGCAGCTGTTTCCAAGACAGCAGCTGCTCCGATTGAGCGGGTTAAACTTCTAATCCAAAATCAGGATGAAATGATCAAAGCTGGGCGGTTGTCTGAACCATACAAGGGAATTACTGACTGCTTTGCCAGGACTATTAAGGATGAAGGTGTCCTTTCTCTTTGGAGAGGCAACACTGCTAATGTTATCAGATACTTCCCCACCCAGGTTGATTTTCTTTCCCATTTATATTTTAGTGCTTTCTTTTCTGCCTTAACTTTTTAGGTGCTTTTGTTTACTGAGTTTGTCTGTTATGTCCCTGGGGCTTCACTGTCTCAGCGTGCCTCTTCTTGGGAAAGAAGCAGACAAAAAACCCCAAAAATGAGGCTTTTGATGCACGTGTAACATGTGTGATCTAGTATTGACTGTCAGTTTGGTCAAAGGACTTGCTTAACTTTGTTTTTGTTCTCCTTCCCCCTCATTTTATTTTTTCTGCTTAAAGCTTAACTCATTTGTATGTGCCAGGCCCTGAACTTTGCCTTCAAGGATTACTTCAAGAGGATGTTCAACTTCAAGAAGGACAAAGATGGCTACTGGAAATGGTTTGCAGGGAACTTGGCATCTGGTGGTGCTGCTGGTGCTTCATCTCTTCTGTTTGTTTACTCTCTGGATTATGCTCGGACACGTTTGGCTAACGATAATAAGGCTGCTAAAAAGGGTGGTCAGAGGCAGTTTAATGGTTTAGTTGATGTCTACAAGAAGACCATCCAATCTGATGGCCTTGCTGGTCTCTACCGTGGATTCAATATCTCATGTGTTGGAATTATTGTTTATCGTGGACTCTACTTTGGAATGTATGATTCTCTCAAGCCCGTTGTTTTGGTTGGTGGATTGCATGTATGTGAGCGTAATGGATCTGTTTTCTTCCCCTTAAAACTATGTCTAATCGGTAACATTACTTAGAGTTTTGTGGTTGACTTCAACTGGAGCCTGATTCTCTGTGTATTTGGTATTCACAGGATAGTTTCTTGGCAAGTTTCTTGTTGGGTTGGGGTATCACGATTGGGGCCGGACTGGCATCTTATCCAATTGATACAGTTCGGAGAAGAATGATGATGACCTCTGGAGAAGCAGTCAAATACAAGAGCTCACTGGATGCATTTTCTCAAATTGTTAAGAATGAAGGTACTAAATCACTGTTCAAGGGTGCTGGTGCAAACATTCTACGTGCTGTTGCAGGTGCTGGTGTGCTTGCTGGCTATGACAAGATGCAAGTCATTTTCTTTGGCAAGAAATATGGATCTGGCGGTGGTGGCTAATGTTTTCACATAACAGTGGAAGGTGATATTGCTGTCTTGAAGAATGATTTAGAATCCCAAGATCGAATAATATGGGATGGATATGCTGCTTTTGATAGTTCCCAGTATTTAGGGATTTAATGTCAGTGACGAAAAAGGTACTTGAATTTTGAGTGTTAAATGTGTTTAGTTCCAGGACCATGTAGTTTTTGCTTGTTCTTTTTGGTGAGAATAATTAAACAATGCTCTGCCTTCACGTATGTGCTTGATCTGTAGCATATTAATCGATTTTATTCAATATTCTTGGCGTGATGTTACGGTGTCTGTTTGGCATTCACCTGTTGGATATTGGTTATCTGATGATATTGACATAATAGTCTCACGAAGCTCCTAGTTTTCATGGTGGTACCCGTTCCAGGCGCAAGTTGTGGCCTATTAGAATTCTCCATGGTGGTAAACAGGAAGATAATAGAAGGGAAGTGGCAGATTCTAATTCATGTTTCTGTTTCTTTATTTAGAAATTATACTAGGGAACTGGTAGAGGAGCGTGTGCAATGAAAAACAGAGTACGTTTTTTTATTTATTTTTGAAAGGAAACCAGAGAATGTAGAATGTAGAATGTAGGTTAGGGTCTCGAGGCATTTTGATAAACGTCAACGTTATTATTAATGTATGTTGCATGTCACATGAAACCAGAGTATATAGAATGTAGATTATTATTATTAATGTATGTTACATGAAACCAGAGTACATGCCTATAATTGCTTTTACATTTGAAAAACCTGTTTATCAACTATTTAAAGGCTTATGAAAGTTAAAAAAAAAAAAAAGAAATTAAATTTAGCAATGCTAGTTGATTGACTTTTGGATTAACTGGCATGTTATTAGAACTGGTGCTTAAATATTGCGGATCTGAAAAAAAGATGAAAGTAATATATTTTTCAGTTAAGTAAATATGAAGGTATGAATTTTTTCACCAAAAAAAAAAAAAAAAAAGAATTAAGATATGAAGGTTAAAGGTAGATTAAGATTTAAAAAATAACCATGTTTAATTTTGGAAAATAAATATAGAACAAAGTCTTCATTTGCCACTAGCTATATATGTTTGTGTGGATAGTAACAGTTTCTCTACTATCACGCTATTTTAATGAATCGGAACCTCTCTCTTTTCTTTTCTCTCTCTCTCCCTTCCCTGAATATTCTTTCATTCTCGAAATTTTAATGGTTGTTTGCCAGTAATTGCTAGTATTGTTATTAGTTGTGGTCATCTCTAGAGCTTAATTGAAGACTGAGTCGAGAAGTGAGATGCGCATATCGGAAAATATAGGCGTCGTGCGTAAAATGTTTGAACAAATGATGCTGAGGACGGATAGGTCTTCCAGAGGGATTGAAGCTGATAACTCTTTGGAGATTGGATCTTCAGATGCTAAACATAATAAATCAGTGCTGGGAGCTGTTAGCCAGAACCAAAGTAGGGTGATACCAGAACAGAACCCAGTTAACTCATATGGAAACAAGGGAAATTCCTAGAGTTATACCAAATATTCAAAGATTCGACCAAAGGTGCATACGATGATGATGATGATGACGACTCCCCAACAACATCAACGCTCCGTGAAAAACTAGGGGAAGCTTACTAAGGTAATCTGGAGTTCTTTGAAAATTAATGAATCCATATTATGGATATATGTTTGTTTTAAACAAACTAACACAGTGGAGGAATATTACAATAGGGTTTAAAGTCTGTTGCAATTGTCTAATAAGCGTGCATGTTCTTAGCATTTTCATTAATAATGTGAAACCAAAAATTTCAAAACCAATCCAAAAACCATAACTCGTCACTTTAATCTGACCAAAAAAAAAAAAAAAGGAATCCCTTATTTAATCTAACCAGAAAACCCTTTGTTGGAAAATAATGTGGCCCACATATATATATATATATATATGTATAGTTAACCAAGACAATAAATAATTAATTATCTAATTGTTATTTAAGTGATATTATCTCATTAAATTCTATTCAAGTTAAACTACTTTAGTGATAACGGAGATAAAGAATTGTCTGCTATATATCTCAGTAACCGATAAAAGAGAACATACACATAAAAAATTTCGTACAAATTTTAACGACATGTTAATGGATGCGTGAATTTGAATCATATTTAAAAGATTCTATTTAAAAACAATTAAAATTTTAAATTACAAAGGAAAATAAAAAATTGTAAAAAAATCATAAACTAATTATTTAATTTATTCATGAAAGATAACGTACTAATACAATGATATAATCATATATCAAATATGTAAAACTTATATGATTTATAAAGACACAACAAAAATATTGTTGTGGAAGTATTGCTAAAACGAAATCGATTTAATTAATCAATGAAAGATAAGATAACGCATTTAAAATTATTTATTTTTTATAGTATAAAATTTTTAACACCAATACAAGAAATTTATCAAAAGATTTCTTTTCTTATGTCAATATTTTTTTATTTTTTATTTTTTATGTGACTTATCGTATAATTTAATATGAATGAGATTTATTTCATATTTTATTTAAATTAACATATTCATTCTTTTTTGTCTCATCGTGGAGAATTATTCACCATATCTCATCGAAAAAGAAAGAGACCACCGCTAAAACCTTTTTCATCTTCTCCATGGCCTAATTAATGCGATTTCTAGTTTTGCTATGGCCAGTTGCCATATTAAAGGAATTGGGGATTAAAATGGCAATTTGTATTCATGATTTTAATTAAAAAAAACCAATGCACATTAATTGCCTATGACAGTTTTCTTTTCTGGGTTCAAACCAAGAATATAACTGATACATGTAGACATTAGTTAAGTAGGATCTATTCACCCATTTGGGACAACCATTCCTATGATTCACCTTTTTTTTTTTTCCTTGGCAATAAGGAATTCAAAAACTAATTTCACACGAAAAACAATGCAGTTTTGGCTTTATTTAGGTCAAGGACCAATTTACCATTTTATTTAATTTAATGGTCAAGATTTTACCAAATATTATGTTGTCAATAATACATTTTGATCGATTTTTTCTCAAATTGAAATACTTGAAATAATTTAAATTCGAAATTATTGAAACACTAAAACAATTCGAATTTTTTTTAACACAAATAACTTGACTAGATGCTATGCAATGTAAACTCTCTATCCTACCTGTCCAATTAGTTTTATCTATCATGTACTATTCCTAATAAAACAATAAAGTAATATATTTGATATAAATCAATGTTGATTTCCTCGCCTAGCTAAGACTTTATCCCACTCTCTTTTAAATATTTTTAAAACAAATAATAGAGAAAAAATTATTTTAATTGAATTAGGAACAAAATAGTGGGTTTATATGTGAGAAGAGATATATTTCTATACACAACAGTAATATTATAGAATTTTTAAATTTCAAGTGGATTTAAATAATTAATACAAATTCATTCAAATTATTATGTTAATTTAATAAAACAATTTTACTTAAAATATTAAAAAATAGATTTCATGTAATTTAATAAATTTTAAAATTCATTATAATAATTTAAATTTAATTTTAAGGATGTCAATAAATCTTATAAAATGTAGTATAAATTAAATTTAAATGAAATTTATTAGTAATAGAATAAAAAAAAACTATTTTTAACTTTTGATTTTTATAAATAGGTAAAAGGGTAGAAGAATAAAAAAGTCTTTAGACTTTATCATTTTATTTAAATAAGCTCTTATACTTTTATTATACCCAAATAAATTTTTAATCTTCAATTTACATCCAAATAAACTCTTAACTTTTAATTTGTATCTAAATAAGTACTTAATCTTTAATTTGTTTCTTAAATAAACTCTTAATATAACCAACTTTTTATTTAAAGTAAAGGTTTAAATGAATAAAAATGAAAGGATAAGGTTTATTTGGGTATAATAAAAATATAAAGGTCTATTTAAATATAGTTGAATAATTCAAGAGTTTTTTTTTTTAAGTATTTTTAATAAAATATAAAGCTTATTTCAATAAAATTGAATAATTCAAAGATTTTTTTTTTAGTATTTTAGTTGAACTTAGGTAAAATTACACACGGCATCCTTATAATAGTAAGATTATTAGAAATATAAGGATTTCTATCTCTTACAATTTCTTTTAGTATAATATTATAATTAGTTAATCATTTAAAAATATAAATTTTACATATATCTTTTTTATAGATCTCACACGATACTGAATTATAATTAATTAATTGAACTGTGGATATAGCTCATAAGTATACAAGACAAAAGATTTTTGATTGTTGACATAATATTGAAAACTTGAATGGGTGAACCAAGATCCACCACTCCAACGAAAACCAGCGTCGATTTTCTATGGGTCCTTAGCCAAGCCAAGGCGCAATAAGACGGGATATATTTAAAGTATATAATTAATGTGTATGAAACAGGTTTGAAGGGAAGGACCAGGGTGTGCGGTAGTCCGAAATAACATCTGAAGTATCCCTTGAGTTCTAAGGCATCTTTCCCCGCGCTACTCTGAAGCTGTGTTTCTCCTGCGAAAACAACGTGGAAGGAGATAAGTCCTTATCGTGTAGTTGGACCGTCTTCAACCGATTTCATCTATATTCTTACTCAAAACATCATTATATATATATATATATATATATATATATCAGAATCCATGCTTTTTTGGTCAGGTATTAGCATAACTACCAGTCTTCTTAATTAGCCTACGAAAACCCAACATTTCCTCAATTTATCCAATTGAAGCATGTGAAGCAAACATGCTAGTATATATTTCTTTAAGGCCAAATGTAATTTAATGGTTAACTGTCCCTATAAAGAGGGTTGCTTGGATATCATCATCTAGAAAAGAAATCTGTATTCCTATTGGACGTGAAGTTGAACAGCATGATTTAACAGAAGACCGAAGCATTTCTCTTCTACATAAAAGCAAGCTAACTCTCAACAAAGCATCCACACCAAAGAAATGGCTTCAACTTTGTGTTCTTCATTCATTTCCCGTGCCATGATCATCTTGCTAGTCTACCTATCTGCCTCATCCAACAATCTGGCAGCAAAACACACCTACTCATCCTCTAATCACCACCGCCACCACAACCGTTCACCGTTTCCAAACCCAAAACTCCAGCAAGCTAGCTTATAATGCCCTTCAGGCTTGGAAAAGAGTCATCTATTCAGACCCCTACAACTTCACTTCTAACTGGGTTGGTCCTGAGGTATGCAACCATACAGCCGTGTTTTGTGCAGCTCCCCCTTATGACAAGAAAATCAAAGTAGTTACTGGCATTGATCTTAACGGTGCAGATATAGCAGGTTTTCTTCCTGATGAATTAGGCATACTCTCAGACCTTGCACTCATCCATCTCAATAGCAATCGCTTCTGTGGCATCCTGCCACAGACTTTAGCCAATCTCTGACTTCTCTATGAGCTTGATCTTTGTAACAATAGGTTTGTAGGCCCTTTTCCATATGTTGTTCTGTCTTTCCCTTCTTTACAGAATCTTGACTTTCGATATAATGAGTTTGAAGGGTCATTGCCTCCTCAACTATTCAGTAAAAATCTCGATGCCATATTTGTTAACAACAACCTATTCTCTAATATGATACCATCCAATTTCGTTGGAAGTTCACCTTCTGTTGTGGTATATGCCAACCACAAACATGGAGGCTGCCAGCTGCCATCGAGTATTTTCAACTTTGCAAATACTTTGGAGGAGCTGATATCAACTAACACTAGCTTGTGAGGGTGTTTGCCGCCAGAAGTAGGTTACCTTTACAAACTAAAGGTGTTAGATTTGAGCTATAATAATATAGTTGGTCCAATTCCTTACAGCATTGCAGGGCTAGCTCATTTGGAGCAACTAAACTTGGCGCGTAACATGATGAACGGGATTATACCCATGGGAGTATGTATTCTACCAAACCTGGAAGATTTTACCTTCTCTTATAACTTTTTCTGCGACGAGGAAGGGATCTACCAGAACTTGACATCAAATGGTATATCTTTTGATCATCACAGGAACTCTTTGCCAGAGAAGTCAGAAGTAATGTGAAGCTGCGCTTGAACATCCAGTGGACTGCTTTCACTACCACTGTGGTGGTGGGAGTAGCGGTGGCGTTCTTGGTAGTTCAACTACAATTCCCCCAGTCATGATGCCCGCACCTACACCTCTTTTATCACCTTCTATGGCCCCTGGCTATGTGTAAATAGGCATGTAAGATAGTTTCGCAATAATAGTAAAAGCAAGAATAAGTCATAATTAACATGGATATTGTAAACACTTTATGCTGAAAATTTTAAATTGGAAGTTGGTAAAAATGTATGTAGATGAAGAATTTATGTTTCTAAATTTAAAAAACAAATTTAGTGTAGGGTTTTTTTCAATTTCTTAATGATAAATAATACTTTGTATTTGATATAGTCGTTCTTTAATCCTCTTAAGAAGGGTGACAGCCGCTGAGTTAAACCTGAATCGATGCACCTTGAATTTAAATTTAAAGCGTAACACTAACAGCATGGCAGGCAGCTGGTCTAGGATCATCATCATCATCCTATATAAATATATATATATATATATTATTGTACTTAGCCCTCCAGGCAACAAGCAGCAGGTTCGATCCTCTTTTAAGGTTTAACTTTCTGATTAACCAATTTGCAAATATTCAGAAATTGTGTAGGGGTACGAGCTCTCTAGCTTTCAGTAATGCCTCAATTTTAATTTACAAGAAAAAAAAAATTTTACACCTTAATTGATCATCGTTTGGTCTGCTGGAGTATGCTCATAACCATAAGTATAAGCCTATCCGCTACGGAATTTTAGGCTTGGTTTGGATGGAATTGCATCTCGCACTTAGCAATCAAAAAACCACTTTTATTTTCTAATACGTTATCCATGAGGTAAGATTGAACCAAATTTATCGTGTCATACCTCCAAATTACCATTGGATTTTTAGATCCAGTAAAAAATTTTCTTCCAACTGTAGTTTTGTCTTGCTTTTTATTTATTTATTAGTTTTACCCTCATATATTGCATGAACTTTCAGCCACTTGCTTTTCTCTTTTATATTTTTCATTTTATTTTTTATTTAAAAATTTTTAAATAACTTTGTTAATTCAATGTAATAAATAAATTTTATTATAATAAATTAATAAATAGATAGATATCTTCATAATTAAATAATAAATTAAATAAATATTATTAATTTTTAATTTGAATAAATAACTTTAACCAAAATTATTATATTCAAACTTTAAATAAATTTATTATATTTAAATTTTAATTTAATGTTCTTAATGATAATTTTTTTACTACATTTACCTGATCACCATCGTTGATTTTACGTCTAAACATGCATTTTACCAGTAATTTTATTCTTACCGTTATAATAACAAATCTTACCGTTATAATAATTAATCTCACTTTTATCGTTAATTTTAATTTTATCAAAATCAATTTCATTACTCGTTTAAATGAGCTCTAATTCTTTCTCGTAAAATTGAATTGAAGATCCTCTCTTACTAAAAAAAAAATTATATGAAATAGTTATTATAAGTTACCATATGATCCTTTCATATTCATTCAAATTATGAATAAATCACTATTTAGTTATCATATGCAATACATGATGAATAACTAATTTTTTAATAGTGTGATTATATAACTTGATTTAAATCACCATTTAATTATCATATGTAATACACGATGAGTAATTAATTTTTTTAATAGTGTGATTATATAATATGATTTGAATGTAATAAACATATGCCAACATGAAGTACTCATTTCTTAAATTTTTTTCTCTCAATTAATACTAATACAGATAATACAGTTAACTGAAACAACAACAACAACGTTGGAGTAATGGATGTGATGAAATCAATTTGCACTCTTTTTTTCCAAGGCAATTTGTTCTTGGTAAGAGAAATCTTAAAGTGTATCAGATTTATACAATTACACAATGAAAACAAGAACAGCCTACAAACTGTTACAGTGTCGGTAGTGATAAATTTTAAATTGCTTATGCTGTATCTCAGTAATCTTCTGAAAATGGACCCAGCCAAAAAGTAGGCACTGCAATATTTTCTCCACCTGAAGCAAAATATACAAGCAACTCGGATGAAACATTTAAGGATAGCGCTTTACTTGTCCGAGATAAGCAAAGCAAACTAAGAGCAACTCACCAAGAAAACTTGGAAAGGAAGACAAGTTTTGATGTTCAGAATTCACTAGATTACAAATGAAGAATCAAATTATAAATCCCTCACAAGAAGCAACAAAGATACCTCTTCTCAATGGTACTAGTCAAGCATTCTATATTTTGTTATGTGGTTGACATCTGATAAAAAAAATGTCAACTTCAAGATTGGCATTGAGTCATTACCGCAATGAATAAGTTGGGGCTTGTCAATGGATCCCATGTTGTATACATAAAGTGGAAAGTTTTCTTTAAGCTGGTGGTAATGATCGCCGGCAAGTTGGGCACTCCATCTTTATGTCCATCCACCTTTGTAAACAACCAGAATGAAAGAAATGATCGCATGGTGTTACCTGTTAGACAAATGCCGTAAATCAAGTTCACAGTTGAAGAAAATGACCCTAAATAAAGATAAAAATCACAACAGTATACCATGCAATCACTTGAACGCTGTGTGAGATCAATAGCAGTCATACAAATGACACAGTCTGTGGCTCGATTTGTATCTTGATCAAATCTTCTATAGTAGCTATATTTCTCAGGTAGGATCTGCAAACCAAAAAATCAAAGTAAAGTCGCATTAGAGATTTTTGGAAGCTTCAGGCAAATCCTAACACATATTGGAGACAATGAACATTAAAAATGCCCAGCAGAAGGAAGCACATTTCACTACGAAACAAGCCAGTTGTAAAACAAACGAAATAGGATTCACTGAATGATACAGGGTTGGAAAAAAAAAAAATACTCCCTATGGGAAAAAAATTGGGGGGGGGGGGGGGGCGGGCACAAATAAAACGAATTTGTTAACACAAGGATTTTTTGTAATAGCAGTCCTAGTTTGAGTGCAACAACCCCTTCCCCATGAAATTTCCCCAAGGTGCCTTCAGTCCAGTAGTATTAGAGGCACACATACTCGCACTTGAATACATGTATATGATGACTGCTCAAGGTTTAATGAGTTACCAAAAAGAATGGAATAAATGGAAACAGAAAAGCTTATACATGAAGAGAATACCAAAATTGTATCTGACCTGACGAGGAATAAACCATCGAGATCCAAGATAGTGCTGAAGAAGAAGAATAGATGCTTGAAGTCCAATGAATACACCCAAACAGATACACCAGCTCTTGTCAGGCTCAATACGCATGAAGTTGTGAGGGCATCCGAATATATATAATGGGATTGCTAGCCGAGTAATAGTCATGCCCATAATGTAATGAGGATGTAAAGGTTTTCTTGAATCACGAATAACATTGGTGATTATTTGAGGTATCCAAAAGGAGTAGAAAAGGAGAAGTATTGGCCGCAAGAAATTATGAAACTCGTACATGACCAAAATACCTCCTAAAAGGATCCCATCTGCAAATGTTTGTACCAGTTAGATCATATTAACTCAACAACTTGACATAAGTTCCATAATCTAAGAAAGTAATTGATTACAAAAGCAATCAATTGGATACAGTGTCATTGGAAAGGTTAGCACATTGAGAAGCTAGGATTGAAGACTATTTAGAACAAATAGGGGAAGTAACAATTGCACTTCCTTGATCACTTTTCCACAGCATTTCTCCAACATCTTTTACCTCTAGATGATATAATTTCCTTTTACTATGTGACAACCAAAATCCACATTAGCCTGCCTAGCATAATTTCCTATGCCAGAAAAGCAGCACCTATGCCTCCCACAACCCCTTTTTAGTTTCTCTCAAGAACTTACAACTTTCCACATAGTGGGTCAAATGTGTCACTTTTATTCTTGCCTTTAGATTGGGATAACTCAAGGTTTTCATTTTTCCTGTCTGTAACGTTCACTTTTGAATATGGAATGATGTTCCTGCTACTACAACAGTAAAGATGATCTAATTTGTTTACATTGCTATTAGCTTTTCGATGAAACCATCTTTTGGCTTTTGCTATCACTAGCCTTCCTATCAATTTACACTGGTTTAGTTCTTGGTTGTCATCCTGCAAGTTCACAGCTCTTCTAGAATCTGTAATCATGGATATCATGTAAAGAATTAAGAGACCTTGTGTTATTATCTTAGATACTAAAGCAAAGATTTATATCAGGATATTTGATTCAAAGAGATATATTAGGTTTGCTTGCTTTAAAAACCTTTTAATTAGGGATGCAAACAAGGAAAAGATGGAGGTATAATCTTTTTCCACGTACATCCTGTTGATAGAATATGGTGTCTGAATAGTTGTAACTATAGCAGCAAAAAAAAAAAAAAAAAATCGGTACATCATCAGAGATTAGACTAGGTAACAAAGCCAAGGGGTAAAGAGTTAGGAAAATCACATTCATAATTTAAGGCTTTGCTAATTAGAATCTGATCTTACCAGCAGTCTTTTAGAGACAAAACTTATGAATGTGGATGGTAGGTAAGTTTATGCAAGAGAGACAAGAATTATTTGTCTTTACATCACTTTCAGCAAATCATCATATATATGAAATTTCTATCCACAAATGTAAAAGCTTTTCTGGCACTTACAGAAACGGCTATATAGAACTGATAGCTCACGCCTCATTGTCTCCCAACCTTCGCCATTATTCATAGGCCTACTTGCCTTCCATATTGCGAGAAGGTACCTCATCTCAAAAATTGAAAAGACTACAAACTTGAAGAATGCCGCAGTTGCAAAAGCATTAAATAAGGATTCTGTATACAGAAAAGCAACATAAACTTAGGAGAGATAGACCATTAAACAGAGTGTGGTAAAAGAAGAAATCCACTCTTGAGCATTCAGCTGTTAACCTATATTACGGTTGCAGAGCAGATTTAGTGTTTTCTTTCAAATGAAACCATTCTCATTTGATATTGGACAAGACTTGCTCACAAGTACAAAGAATAATCTTTGAAGCTCCTAGAAATTATTTAAACACTGAGTACTACAGTGCCCATCAAGGTCTTGTTTTACATCCTTAAGGTTGCAAATAAAATACAACCACTTGAGGGAGTGGAAATGATTGAAAAAGAAGGTGAAAGAGACCTTACGTCCTCTATGAAATTATATTACAGCATTTCTTTGGGAGTGTTAATCAATAAACTTACCAACCAGTATTCCTGCAGTGAGATGTAAGAGGCAAAGATAAGCATCCATGATAGCCTGTTGGCCAATCATTAAAATTGAAACTTTAGCAGCTCCCTGATAAGTAACAGTCAAAAGAACTTTCATTAATCACAAAGCAGTAAGTTTCTGATTGATGCTATATCAAAATATAACACCTAGCAAAATATGCTTGTCCGCCTTGTCCTTTACAACATATATACTTTAAAACTCTTACCGATTGCGTGTTGCTGTGTTCCATTTGCCGAATTAACAAAAGAACTTGGAGGAAAGAGACCTGACAAAAGACAATTAAGGAATCCATCTAAAACATGCCAGAGACATTGCATGGAAAATGGAAGGGAACAATGTATTAAGGATACAAAGGTGACCATTAAGGTATAGTTGACTGCTTTGTTGTAGTAGACTTCAATGTTGACAGAAGTTGCATTTAATAGTAAAGGTGAGAAACAATCTCCATCATCATCCACTGCAGGACTCTCCATCAATCCTTCGATGTGATAACGATCATGATCTCCATCTATTAAAAAGTTCAAACAACTTTTGAATTCCAATACTTATATTGTCATAGATATTTCCATCTATCTGTTCTGGCAGATATTTCTGATCAAAATAAAAATCTTGCAGCTGTGAGAGGTGACCCATACTTAACTCACCAAGCTAACTTGGCCTTTCAGCTGCAAATACTATCCATAAATAGCTTCCACTTGATGCCACACTCCAATAACATTTTTGAGATGTATGTTGTCCAAAAGGAAGACAACAGGGGAGAAGATAGATAATAAAAGACCATTTTTCCCAAACTGATAGAACTTTCTTAAATCTTAGGTAGTCTACCCATACTCCATCCAGGTAGGAGAAGACATCCCAATTGTTTGAAATGCCAATTTAGAGATTTAAGTCTACGAAGATTAATAAGTTAATATTTCTTCAGCAATTGCTTAAATCAAGAGATTTGGTAAAAGAAAAAAAAAAAGCTTCCTAAACATATGTTTTTCAAGAAACTGATCAGAGAAGAATGTAAAAGTACAAGAAAGGGATGAGCAGTGATGAATGAACAAGAAGCTGAGACAACTTGAGTACCATTTTGGACGGATGAAATGCGCACAATTTGGGCTGCAATTTCTATATTGCAATGTTTCTCCATCTTATAAATTGGTGCTGCAATAAGAGAAAAAAACATTCACTATAACACAAACTTAACTTGAACTTAAGCAAAGGGAAGTAGTTAAAACTTACAATTTTTTCTTCTCCACATTTTGTTTCTTGGAGATTCTTGGAACACCTGAGATGAGAAAACTCCAAGCTGTTCAAAGATACTGCAAGTTAGTAACCACAACCAAAATAAACAAACATTTATAAACAAGATACCTAAAACTGTGTTGGCGAAACACATCCCTAACTCAAACATTAATTAAAAAAGCAACGCTTTTGGAAAAGTCATCCAGAGCCTGCTGCAGCAGTCAGAGCCATGCCCATAACTCAGAAATACAGATTCAAATATCTTGCAACACCAAACCAAACTCAGGCAGATGTAAAACTTGAAAGGAAATTAACTTCTTTTTACTAGGTATCAACTTGGCTTAAGTAAAAAAAAAAAGCCAGCTCCAAAATCCAATATAGAGGCTTAGCAGACCCAGCCTGAGAGTGGAATTATATGAATAAGCTAAAGCAGTTGACCGTTTTATCCTGTTGACCCAATAGTCCAGATTATAACATTACTCTATAAAGAAACTTTTGGAAAAAAAGAAAAAGAAAAAAAAAACCAAGAAAATCACCATTAAATGCTAGTAAACTAAAACGAGAATGATATGAAGTGTTACCAAATGATAGGGGTTAGACAAAATATAATCTTCCTCCTGACTCAACTCACCCTCCTTTCCACTGCAATAGTGCACCATTAGAATATGTCAGCATTGAAATGCAATCAGTAAACCGGATTCACAAAATGTGTCATCACAAAAGAGCACAGAAATGGTAAGGAGAAAGTTAACAACTATAATGCAATTGCCCTTTCTCCTGGTGATAACTGGTTGGATTTGAGTCCAGACACCCCCGTCTCCCAAAAGTTTCCCAAGTCAAATATAATCATTAAAAATTAGGTAATGATGGTTTGAAATACTTTTATCCACACCCTTTATTGCAGCCAGTCAACTAGGATGCATTTCTTGGTCAAGCAATATCCAATCAAGCTGAAAGAACTTTTAAAAAGCAACCAATATTTCTCCAGGTTTACCTGTTAGCTACCATTCGAAGCTGTCTAAAAGGCCATATATATACACCCTCTACTCTTATTTGAGTACCACCAACATTGTGTTTGTTATCAAACACATCATGGAAAATAATTACACCCTGTTGTCACCACCATGAATGAGAAATAAAAGTCAGACAGTAGTTCACAATGATAACATGCAGCCTAAAGCAGTTAGAAGCTATGTTCTTTAAAACGAGAGTTCTTAGTACACAAGAATGGAAAAAAATTTGATTAGGCATACAAATAAAGAGGATGGAACAAAATCAAACTCCCTAACAAAGTCAGTCTATCATGAGAAGTTTCTTGTAGAATTTCTCATCATTAAAAACCAATTCATGTCTTAAGGCCAACCATAGAAAACATAGTTCTTTTTATTTTCCTTTGTTTTTGTTTTCTAGGAATGTGGTTCAATTGCTCTAACAATTTCACTAAACGCTTTAGCAAAAATTTGAGAAACGTATATTAATTAATCAAAAAGAGTTAATTCCTTTCATACAATCCAAAACCCCCTTACCTGAACATAATGTACACCAGTTATTTTTGTTGGTGTGCTAACTAATTCAATAACTGAATCACCAGCCGATTTCCTGAAATCAGGAAATTTGGAAGAGCTATTCCTAGACTCCAGAAATTTCCAAGTCCCTGCAATGTCCAAGGATACATCAGTCAGATCAACAAACAATTGTCAAAACAAATAAACATGCTTAATGAACTCAAGGATTGAATTAAATCCATCTATTTGGCAGTGCTGTTAAATTCAATATCTCAGAAAAGTACTTTTAGAAGCCAAAAGTTCATTAATTTTCTCAATAGGTTTCTTTTTTATATCATAAACTGTTCATAGGTTAAAAAGACTTCTGATCCATGTGCCATCCCAAATACCACCTGTCTATACATCCAAAATAATTTTACATGAATTGAGTATCAGTAATTTAGAAGAGGCCTACACAAGTTTGGTACAAACAATTCCTATTCTATTTTATTTTGATTGTTCATGGATTGTGGGCTTTGAGCCTTAGACCAAAGATATTCTCCCAATATTTTCCAGTACTTGGTGGTAGCAACTTCCCTAATGCAATAACTCTAATATGCAGATGATTGAATTTAAGAAAATTTACTTACCTCGATAAGTTCCTGTTATGTTCCATGCTTGAAATGGACCCAATTCGCTTTCATCTTTTCTAACAAATAGCCACTACAAGAAGCATTAAAAAAAAATCAAGAAATCTATAGCCCAAAAATTCCAACATGAAATCTTCCAAAAGCAATTATAGAACCCAAAACGAAGAGCACAAGGGGTGAAAAACTCGTGGAAAATGCAAATAACAGCATAAGACCCAATCCACCTTTTCTTAATAGTATGCTTCAGACAATCCACAAATGAAATCTTAGTCAAACAATTAGGTGATGTAGCAAAAGTGAACTAATCTTAAAAAAAAAAAAAAACAAACATAAAACAATCATTCATCCCAAATTCCACATGAAAATTTCTTTATTTCTCTACATTTATTTTATTTACCTTGAATTTCTCAGCATAAAATGAAGGATTAACTAATTCATGGCAGTTAAGGAAACTTCGAGCTATCTCTATTTAGCTCTCTATTTTGAATATCTACCTATCAACATAACCTAATTCTCTGTTTTGACCACATATGTTTCCCTTTATATGAAGCTATTAGGGCAAGATTGTTCTATTGCACGATCAAACTTGACATTGGGAACTTCCATTTTGCAGCACTTCATTATATAACACCAAAACTTTAGCTAGTAAAAACCTATCAAATTGCAACGACTAAAGCACTAAAACTCAGAGGAAAAAAATAAAAATCTGAACTTGACAAATTCAGAAACACAGTAACCAACTACAACTACGACTACAAACTTTGACATCCAAAGTCAAACTATACCCACAAAATTTTCATTTTTGCAAAACCAAAATCATCAAATTTAACAGCAATTAAGCTCAATGAAGAAAAGGGTATAGAAAATTAAGAAGTACCAACCTCATCGCCCCATGACCGAGCCCTCTCTCTTATCGGTCTCAATCCAGCCACTGGCTTTAACAGAACAATACCTAACCATAATCCAAAAACAACCCTAAACACAAAACCTAATCTCCTCCTCCTTGAGATCCATAAAGAACCCAAATATTCCCTGGTGATCATGTCAAAACCCCAGCATCCCATTTCACAAATAATAGAAAATTAAAAAAAAAAAAAGGGAAGACTTCAACTTCAATTCCCCTCCAAGAAAAAAGATATGTTTACAAGCTGATGTACAAGATAGATACAAGAAAATGATACAAACCCACTGCCCATTAGGGGGAAAGAGAAAGAGAGATTGCTTCAACTAGAGTCAAACATATGGGAACTAACAAACAAACCAAGCAAAGGGATCAAACAATTGAAAATGAGAGCTCAACAAACTAATTCTCTCTCACTCTCTCTAGGAGAAATTTAATTCTTATTTTGGTCTGATATAAGCAAACAAAATTATTACAAAACGTGGAGTAAGCGTGGAAAATTTTTAATCTGAAACTCTGGGGGAAGTGGTGTCGTTCATGTTGTTGACATGTCTGCGGAGTTTTGGTAAATCAAGGTCAGAGAAAGAGAGTCTCTGCCCTCTGGGTTTCGTTGGTTAGTACACGCGCTGCTTAGGGATTTGGGATCACGTACCAATTAAGGAGGCAGCCAACTAAGTTTTGGTCTTTTACTCTATTTTTGTCGTGTTATTAAATGATTTAATGTTGTTGGTTAGTGCAATTAAAATATTTGATACGGATGAATAATTAAATAAATATTGTAAGTTTAATCATAACAAGATAGTATATGAAAATAAAACAATTTAAAATTAATAAAAGTTATACATAAATTTAATAAAAATAAAAATAATATTTTATATTTGATATAAAAACATAAATCATAACATTGTAACTTTCATATATTTATATGTGTTAGACAGAAAATAAAAATGATATTAATATAAAAATTATTATTTATATATATTAACATATTTTATGGAATATATTTAGCTGCCGAACTCTGTTTTTTTTTTTTTTTTTTTTTCGTTAGAAAACGTAGAGAAATCTTGTGCAATGCTATGAGCTTTCTTGTACATTTCTATGTTATATCCTAAGATTCTGATTCATCTTTCGTGATGTTTATGTTGTCCGAAATAAGTGATGAAAAACATATGAAAAAGTTTTGAATCATTGCATACTTATTTTTTAACCCATTTTAAACTTATTTTTAGATTTAATTTAATGCGTAAAGTAGGCATCGTCTTTTAAGAAAACTAGAATAATTTTTTTACAGTTTTTAATTCTCAAAACTATGAAATAATGGTCTATGGAAATAGATAAAAAATGAATTCGTCAATAATTCTCAATTCTAAAGGGGCAACTATAAAGACAGCCAGTGTTAAAAGCCCAAGGCCGTCAACTTTTTTATATCCACATTAATTAAAGATATATAACATTAAATAAAATACAACAATTATAATTAGTATTTAAAATATAAATGCATTATTTTTATAATTTAATTTTATTGTATTTTTTATGTTGACTATTTATTGATTTTATTTAATAAAAAATATTTTTTTTCTATATTCTCTCTATGGAATTTTAAAAATATCTGATAACCTAGAATTTTTTAAAAACAAAAAAATCTCATAAGCTAAGAATTTTTTTAAAAAATTTATCATTTGCAGTTTTTTTAAATTATATCATGTCATTTGCATCATTGTTCGTTATTTGATTTATATTTTATCTTATTTAACATTTTTAATTTTAGTTTCTTCTATATTTTTATTTATTAAAATTTTAAAATTAACTCATAAGCTAGAATAATTCTTAGGTTTCTTAAAACTATATTATTCCTCACTTCATTTTTTTGAAAAATGTTACTATGAATTTCCTAAAATTTTCTATGATTAAGAAATTTTTAATTGTGATTATTTGTTTTGTTAATTTTCATTTTTATTTAGTAAATCCAATAAATTTTTTAATTTAAATTAATAGACACAATAAAACATAGTAAATAATAATCAAATAAAATTTAAAAGTATATATTTTAAATTTAATATTTAACAAATATTTTAAATTTAATGTTTAATAAATATTTATTTTAATATATATTTTTTTAGAAATAACTTTTCTAATGTGACACAATATATATACATTTTTACGTGTGTAATATAGGAATATTAATGGGTAAAATACCTGCTATTTTTAAGATATCCATTCCTAAATCCAATTAAAATTTTCACTACCCAAATGATTTTTTTTTCAACATTTGAATACCAAAAGACTCAAAAAGGTAAGCTAATGAGTCTTTTGAGAGCTGGTTCTCTCTAAGAAGTTAGTACGTCTTGTTTAGTATGCAAGTGAGTTCGTTTCAGGATTTATCTAGTTAGGTGGTCTTTGAGTCTTTATGGGTAGGAGTTGAGGCAATAAGTTTTGTAAGGATGGAGGATGAACTGAAGGGTTTATGGAAGCATTTACAGTTGACTGAAAAGGAAAGAAAGGGGATTGAAGCAAATACCTTGGTGATAGATAATGAAGGATAGAGCAAAAAATCATGGCTTGTAGGGAAAGTGATAACAATGAGGGTTTTGAGTAAATACGTAGTGAAGAGCACGTTGAAGATAACATAGAAGTTGGCCAAATAGGTGGAAATTATGGATCGAGATGATAATTTTTTTCTGTTTAAACTTTCAACAAGTTCAGATATGCGAAGAGTAATCAATGGATCACCATAGAGCTTTGATAAACAATTGATCCTGTTTAATGAATTTGATAGGAAGCTATAACTGGAGGACTATGTATTTTCAACTGTTTTATTCTAAATAAGGTTGTATGGCTTACCTTTAGGGAAGATGAACCAAATGAATGCAACTAGGATAGAGATGAAATAGGTGATCTTAAGTTGGTGGATACAACTCTAGAATAACAGGGATGGGTTTGATTTCTACGTATCATAATGAAAGTTGATATTACAAAACCTTTGCGTAAGACAGTATTGTTCACTTATTGGGAATAAAGAAAGGAAATATGAGAAAGGCTATCCTACGAATGGTTACCAAGCTTTTATTATGCTTGTGGGATGTTAGGTCATGTTGAGAATGAATGTGAGGAAAAGAAAAGGGGAAGGGGATCATGATACTTTAACGAGGCAATATAGTGCATAGCTTCGTGCTTTATCATTAAAGAACAAACCTTCAGTATGAAAGAAAGGGCAGGCTATTAACAAGTTTCAAGGAAATAACAAAAAGAGTAGCCATAGTAACAAATCTTCTAGATGACTACTGGCGATGGAGTTGCACAAAAATTGAACTTGGCATCCAGTCAAAGGAATTTGGATGAGCTTGAATCATGGGATTTGATAAATAATGAAGGAGCTATTTTAGGGGATAATGATGGGAATTTACAGAATATGAAATCCCATGGTTGAAGTTCAAAAAGGCATAAGTCCAAGTCTAAAAAAGTTAATCAGAAGTTTGAAAATATAATCAGATCGATGAATATACGTCTATAAAAAGAAGGTGAAAATGACAAAAACTCTAAATATGGGAATAATGGCCCAAATGTGCATAACCATGATATCCCATGCAAGAGAATATATAATAAACTGATGGAGTAGCTCTACCCGAACAAGAAAAGTATTATTACACAAAAAAAATGAAGATGTACAAAGCATGCATAAGATAATGAGGAAAGTATGTAACAATAGGAACCAAAATAAGGAACAAAAAATAATCTCCAAATCAAAATAAAAAAGTTCGCCAAGATAAGTAAGGGATACATAAATAAGTGGACAGACTGAGACAGGGAAAAGGAAACATGAGGACAATATACTAGAGGATATGGACATCAATGTGATATTGAAAAGAAACAAATGTGAGGAGAATGAGGTAATGTAAGACTATAATGATGAAACAATAGTGATTGGCTTTTAGTTTTACTGAATGTAATAAAGTTGTCTAGCTTTGAACTACTATGGGCTTGAAAACCCATGTGCAATTTGTGATCTTCAGAATATTTTGAAAAAAAAATCTCGAGGTGGTTTTCCTATTAGAAACCATGTCTAATAAGGGAAAGATTGATAAGGTATGTAGAGCATGCCAATATAATGGATGTCTGTAGTAGATGAGTGGGAAAAAGTGAGGGGTTTAACTATGCTATGGCTAGAAAAAGTTAATATATCATTGAGAAGTTTTTCTAAATATCACATTGATATAAGGGTAGTGAATGCCGATGGCAAAGAATGAAAAATTATAGGGTTTTATGGAAAAATGACTACACAAGTTGGCACAATGCATGTGATATGCTTAAAAGATTGGGTTATCATAGCTTTCAAGGGTGGCTTTGTATGAGAGACTTTAATGAGATTTTATGGGACAAAGAGAAATTTGGGAAGGAGCCAAATCATTAGCACAAATGGAGGTATTTTGAAAGGTATTAAAAGATGTTGAGTTCTATGACTTAGGTAATATAGGACAGGATTTTACATGGTACAGAGGTAGAACAATGGAGAATAGGATCCAAGAAAGATTTGATCGTGCCATTAGGAATAAAGAATTGATGGATAGTTTCCTTGACCTCATTGTATGGCACCTAACATGTTTTACTTCAAATTATTATCCAATTTTAATGGGCTAAACAAAATAGATGAAACTGATCATTGAAGAGAAGAAAATACTTTAAAGCTACATGGCTTAATGAACCAATTGCATGGATATCATAGACAAAGAGTGGATTGCTAAGGAATTCACAAACTTAAAAGTAAGATGTGTAAGACTTAAACCAAGCTTCATGATTGGTGCGCAAACAAATTTTAAGCTTTAAAGAAATGTACATAAGAGTTACATGATTAGCTGAAGGTGGCACAACAAAGAGCTATTGATGATGCCGGTTTGAATAAAAAGAATAAGCTTAAAGTGTGCCTTAATGATTTGCTTGAACAAGAGGAATTATTTTGAAAATAGACATCCCGAGTAAATTGGTTGAATGATGAAGAAAAAATACACGATTCTTCCATGCATAGGAATCTCAACATAAAAGAGTGAATATATTGACTAGAGTAGAAGATGTGAATGGGATTTGGCATGAAAGAGAACATGAAGTGATTGAACAAGCAGTGAGATATTTTAAAATATTTTTAAGTCTCAAAGACCACTAGCTCTAGATCATATCTTGGGATTAATTACTCTTTGTGTCACAAATGAGATGGATGAGTCTCTCCTATTAGAGTTCACAACTAAGGAGATTCAAGAAGCAGTTAAATCGATTCACCCTACCAAAGCTTTAGGACCTGATAGTATGAATGCATTATTTTTCCATAAATTTTGGCATATCGTAATACCTGAAATTATTAATTTTTATTTAGATTTTTTGAATGGAAATGGTAGTTTGGATAGTATTAATGAAACCAGTATTACCCTCATTCCCAAAATCAATAGCCCTAAGGAAAATGACCCAGTATAGACCAATCAACTTGTGCAATGTACTTTATAAAATTATTGTTAAAACTTTAGCTAATAGATTAAACTAGTGTTACCAACTTGTATTAGTGAAAACCAAAACGCCTTTGTCCCAGGTAAGCTCATATCTGATAATGTCTTTATAGCCTATGAGTTGTTGCATACCATGGAATAAAAAATAGAGGTAAT